AGGTTTAGCTTTCTTAAGGTATGACTGAAGCCTAGAAGTTTCCCCAACCCTCAGCCCTTCCTCAGAAGACAGCTGAGTTGGGTGCTGGCAGGTCTTCCGTGTGTAAGGCACCCAGCAGATATTACCACTGAGAGTATCAGCTGTATAGAGATGCTCTGAGGACTCAGAAAAAACTGAAAAGGTCTATACGAACTTCTCCATGCCTCGAGATCTTAGAATAGAACAGATGACAAACCCTGTCCCCCTCCTGTCTCTCTCCCTCCCCACCTCCCCTAACCCTACCCTTGTCCCATCTGGGATGATTTCCCTCTGGGCCTCCTCAGAAGCAGAGAGTTGGGCCAAATGACCCCCCTGAGGCTTCTTTCTGCTTTTTGATTCAGAAAATGTACTGAATTATTTACTCTTTTATATTCTGCAACCACATTGTTTTAGTCACTTCTCTGACCTTGCTGTTTACACGATTTCCTTTGCCTTGCAGTTTCCAAAAAGGAAGCTCAAACATATGTATTCTCATTTTAAAGGTATTTTGGCAATATACATTAATTTGTAAGTTATTAAAGATATTTCTTTCTCCCTCTTACATTTAACTGAACTGGTACCTTTGTAAACTTCATAAGGGAAGGCCTCAGAAATTCGGGTGAACACCACCATTACCTGCAGCAGGGTTCATGGCAAGACAGGGACTATAGAGACTAAAGTTCTGCTGTGGGGCAGGAGTGTGGTGCTCCTGAGGAGCTGAAATATGGTCAGTCTGTCTGGTGGGATCCATGGTCTGGAAGTTTGTACAGGGGGTTGGAGGAGATATTTACCAAAACTTCTTTCTTTTTTTCCTGGTCATTCAGAGAGGACTATATTCCCTAGACCCATTGAGATAGGGGCAGCCATGTGATTGAATTCAATAGGATGTGAATGAAATGTTGTGCACATGTCTGCCCCTGAGAAGCCTGATACCTAACTGTATTAGTTTCCTATTGCTTCTGTAACAAATTACCGTAAACTTAGTTACCTAAAACAACACAAATGTATTCTCTTACATCTAGAGGCCATTAGTCTGAAATGAGTTTCACTGGGCTGAAATTAGGGTGTTAACAGGGTTGGTTCACTTGGAAGTTCTAGTGGGGAATCTGTTTGCTTGCCTTGTTAGCTTTGGGAGACCCCCTACGTCCCTTGGCTCATGGCCCGTTCCTCACTCCAGTTCCAAGGACTTTGATCTTTATGTCTCCTACTCCTTTGACCTTCTTGTCTTCTTCTTATGAGGACTCTAGTGATTACATTTAGGGCCCACCCAGATAATCCAGGACCCTCATCTCAAGATCCTGACTTTAATCACATCTGCAAAGTCCCTTTTGCAATAGAAGATAACATACACAGATTCTGGAGATTAGGAGTTGGACATCTTTGGGGACCGTTATTTGGCCTCCTGCAGTGATCCTACACACTTTGTCTCTCTTTCCAAATCTGCCAGATGAATGCAGAGAATAATAAAGCCAAAAAAGATGGGAAAGCCACACAGTAGAAGGAGGCTGGGCTTCGGAATGGCTGGGTATGGCAGAGTTGCCCTGCTGACCACAATGGATTGCGAAATGAGGCAGAAAACCTTTTTTATTGTGTTAAGCCACTGTGGTTGGTTGAATTATAGACTTGGATGGTTCAACCCTCCCTGTGTCCACACCCTTGCAATGGCCTTGTGGACTCAGTGTGCTACAAGCGAAGTGCCTGAGCCACCAATGAATAAGGGAGACTGGTCTTGAGACTGGGAAAGTAAACATCAGGTAACTGGAAATAAGAAAATTCAGAAAAATTCTCTGTGCACCACCTATTCTTGTAAGCACCACCATCATCTCTTGTAAGCTATGGCAATCTCTGGCAACCACTGATCATTTTACTGTCTCCACAGTTTTGTCTTTTCCAGAATGTTACATAGTTGGAATCATATAGTATGTAGCCTTTTCAGACTGGCTTCTTTCACTTAGTAATAAGCATTTAAGTTTCTCCATGTCTTTTCAGGGCTTGCTATTCCATTATGGTCTAGATGTACCACAGTTTATTTATCCATTCGCCCACTGAAGGACATCTCTGTTCCTTCCAGGTTTTGGCAATTATGAATAAAGCTGCTATACATATCTGTGTAGGTCTTCATGTGCACATAAGTTTTCAGCCCCTTTGGATAAATACCAAGGAGCATGATTGTGGGATTGTACGATTAGAGTATGTTTTGTTTTGTAAGAAACTGCCAAACTGTCTTCTAAAAAGGTGGTACCATTTTGCATTCCCATCAGCAATGAATGAAAGTTCCTATTGCTCCTTATCCTCACCAACATTTGGTGGTGTAAGTGTTGTGAATTTCGGCCATTCTAATATGTCTATTGTGGTATTTCACTGTTTTAATTTACATTTCTTTGATGACATACGATGTGGAACACCTTTTCATATATCTTTTTGCCATCTGTATATCTTTTTTGGTAAGGTATTTGTTAAGGCCTTTAGCCCATTTTTTGATGGGGTTGTTTGTTTTCCTTTTGTTGAATTTAAGTGTCCTTTGTAAATTTTAGATAAGAGTCTTTTAACAGATATGTCTTCTCCAAGTATTTTCTCCAGTCTGTGGCTTGTTTTCACTTTCTTCACAGTGACTTTCACAGAGCAAAAAATTTTTATTTTAAGGAAATACAGTTTATCATTTTTTTCTTTCATGGATGGTATCTTTGGTGCTGTATTTAAAGTCATCAACAAATCCAAGGTTGTTTGGGTTTTTGCCTGTGTTACCCTCTAGGAATTTTATAGTTTTGCATTTTACAGTTAGAGTTATTTTTTGTGAAAGGTGTAAGGTCTGTGTCTAGATTAATTTTTTTGAATGTGGATGTCTAGTTGTTCCAGCACTATTTGTTGAAAACCCAAATGATTTTTAGATGCTATTTATAGGTGTATAGTACGAATGTCAGCCTCATGGATGTCCCCAAGTCCAAGCACTTTGAAATTCAAATAACATTTGGTTCAAATACGCATCCCCAGTGTCTGAGGATACTCTGGGAATTAGTCCCCTCTTGATGTCCTCTGGTGGAGGTGTCTCCAGCAGCACTCTAGCCTCTTTACTAAGTTTTTCTTCTCTCTTTTCCCCACCTCATCCCCTCCCTGGCGACTGCCCCAGTCTCTTCTCCCTGAAGCGCCACTCACCTACCCTATACGTAAGCAGGTATATCAAAGGAAGAGAGCCATAGTGGAGACGATGTTCTAGGGCAGAAGGACCTAAGTTGGACTGGAATATTTCTGAATTTAATAATCCCTGGTCTGTTTCTTCCTATGGAGAAATCACCCCACATCTCTTCCATCCAGACTGTAGTCTTTTGACATTGCGCTGGGTCCCTCTCAGGATGACCACTGGCCCAACTGACACCTTTGTGCACATTTAGATAAAGGCAGCCCTTCTTCAGGAGGTTTTGCAATTTGCAGCTTGACAGCTGAATGTGGACGAAATTTCAGGCCTAGTGCCTCCTCTTCTTGCTTTAGTGCCCATCCTTCCCTAACTTACCTGTCTTTTATCCCCTAAATTCTCACTCATTTCTTGTAGAGCAGCTTAGATCTTTCTTTACTGGCTTCAGGCCATCCAAGTTATTCCCAAGGGTCTCATCTTTCATAATTAATTTTAAAACATGATCTTAAACTTTAACAGTTATAACTCTGGGAGGAACACTGGGGTGCTGACTTTTTCCCCCACCATATGTACATCATGGTGTACATGATGGCAATAATGAAGATGACAATAGCCCTTAACTTAATAAACTTCTATTATTAAATGAAGAGAAAATTTATCTTTTCCAGGAAAATCAATGGTCCTTTCTTTGACATTTCGAAGATTGCATATTATACCCTGGTTACTACAGAAGAGAAACTAGAGTCTCTAATGTTCCTGAAGCTCTTTAAATTAAAAACGCTTAACTCTGCAGATGCATCTTGTAAATGTATATGTATGGCAGAAAGCCAGCAAGTTCCTGAAAGGCAGCAGGATGCCAGCCCAGCCTTCTGAAGCATATGTATTGTCAGAGTCATCATTATTTCTTAATAGACCATGGGGCAGCAAGAGATATGATATGGGACACATCTTTGAAATAATGTATTTCTGTCATCTAAGATGCATTGACAGCATTTGGGGAAAGCAAAAAAGGCATTGTATTAAATGTTCACACCAACAATAAGCTACATCCTGATTTCAATACGAAAATGAGAACAATAAAACTGTATCTTAGAAGCAAGAAATGATGCATTTTCTGTTAAGTCCTTTATAGCACATTCCTTTATATGTTAAAGAAAAAGCTATTTTGATAATATTGTTGCTGAATACATGCACAATAATTTTTCAAATAGAAACCATAAAGTCAGTATATTCATAACTAGGCATAAGATTAACTGAATAGTCTTTTTATGGACTTAACTATGACATGTGAAGATTTTGGAGAAGATGTGAATAGTAAAGACCATGTTCTAGAAGCCTCAGTTTTCTCATCCACAAAATGGGTAAAATAAAGTATCACCCTCATAAAATTGTCATGAAGATTAATGAGATAATACATGTAAAGTGCTTAGCATAGTACCTAGAACATAATACTGTCTACTGCTCCGCAGAAATTCAGAATAAACTGCAGGGAAGGGTAGTGGAATATTTGTTCCAGGTATTATTCACTTAAATTCAACAAATATTTGGTGCTAAGAATTGGGCTGGAAGCTGCTATAGGAAGAAACAAAGATTGCTACATTGTCTTGCTCTGCTCCGAGAGAGCTGATGAGAAATATTTGGCATATTTAATATTATTACTTGAATTTTGGTTTTAAATGCTAAATTTAAGCTAGATTTAAATTATCAAATATATTAAACTTTAAGCTTTAAGCATTAAGTATATTCTGTTGCTCTAAATATACATATTTAGTTTGTTGTGTACTGTTTTAATGACTTAGAGATAGTTTTGTATTTGTCAGTAATGCTAACCAAAGTATGTTTTATTTTTCAGTGGCACTAACTCTGCTTTCCCAAGAAAACCAAAATAAATGAGCCTGTTGGAGAAGAGCCCTCACCTCTAGTTATGGACTTTAGGAATGAATGAGTCAATTAAGAGCTACGCCTTACTTCTGATATAGTAAACTTAGAGATGTACTAGAACATGGTAGGTCCTTGTTCCTTATCCCAAGGGTGAATGACCTTGTTGGTCTCAGATCAGATGTTATCCCAGGTATGTGTAAAAGCCAGTCCCTCAGGATGGTCCCTGGTGTTCCCTGCCTCTGATAACTGCAGCCCCAGCCAAAATCTGATGGCATTCTCATGAAAGACCACAAACAAGAACATTCAGGTCAAGCCCTTTCCAAATGCCTGACCCATAGAAACCATGAGAGAGAATGTGTGACTATTGTTGTCTTAAGCCATTACGTTTAGGATAATTTATTACTGGTACAGCATGTACTGAGGTGATGTTAAGTCAATGAAGGGGATTCAGCAGAGAACTAAATCGCAAGACTTGTATCTTCGAAATAATTCTGCCTGTGGTGTGGAAGTTGGATACCAAGGGAAGAAGCTGGGAAACTAAAGGCAGGACATTAGTTAGGAAGCGATAGCACCACCCAGGCCTGATGTCGTGGGAGCAAAACTCTTTAAAGGTGAGTGGTGTTCAAGCTAGAGGTTAGAGAAATGGGTCAAGACATGTTTCTAAAAGATAGAACTGCCTCCATTAAGTGACTGTCTGAGGCAGGAAAGGTGGAGACTAAAATAATCTATGCATTTTTTCTTCTGGAATCTTGCTGTGTGTATTGATTCCCCAGCTCTGACTACTTGCTGGAAAAAGCTGCAGTCCAGTTCTCATCCTACTACTCCGTCACCACTCAGATAGCTCCATTTGAAGCTCTCACTTGTGTCCAAGATAAACTTACTTAACTAGTTAGAATTTGTGGATTATATAATAAATACTAGCTATAACAATCTTCCCATAATTTGGTGTGGGTGGGTGTTTTCCTTAGAGTAAGCATTCTTTAAAATATTTTGTTCCTCAAGATTTTTCTCACATCAACTTTTTTGTTTATTTAAAGCAACACTAAAAACGTGGTTTGCATTTTAAACATCTTTTTAAACTATTTAAACAATATTTTTAAGACATGATCTGATTTTTAAGTGCCAATTGACTTTAAATCGAAACATGAACATATACCTATTAAGAAATTAGCCAAGAAAAATCAGTAATATGAATCTCTGTGGGTAAAATTGCAGTATTTCCAGAATCTCACACCTGGCCTTAGTGCATCTCCATATCAGTGTTTCCAAGGGATGGAGAGAGGTAGGTTATCTCCATATCAACACGTAATTACCAGGGGGAGAGATCTGGACTGGAGAGGTTGGGTGGGGCTCCTTTTTGCAGCTGGGTCATGAGACACGGGTCGAGCAGAAGTAGACGACTGCTTATAAGCAATAAACGGATTTCTCCCACTTTTTTTCTTCCTTTGACTGATTTCGGTTTCAAAGGTATTTTGCCCCGGATTCTGCCCCCACACCCCCACCCTGGAGTTACAATCTCCTAAGAGTTTGTTTAAAAAAACTTTACTTCTAACTTTGGGGAAATCTTTAGGGAATTACTAGTTCTTACACAGAAGAAACATTTATCTTAAGTTCCGCAATTCCTTTCATTTTACCTCAGCTCTCTGGCTGGAATGCATGCATGCCTCTGGACCCCCGTTATGGTTTCAGTTCTAAGCAAGGCTCTTCCTCTTTGCTTGGGCAGTAGTACTTTGAAGGATTTCCCATCTGCCTCTGAGGACCTAAGAAACTCTAACACTTCTGTTTAAAAATCCCTAATATGTGAATCATGTGTGTAAGTCCGGGGAAAGGAAATTCCAGGGCAAAATACCTCTAAAAACCAAAATCAGTCAAAGGGAGAAATAAAGTTTAAAACCTGTTTATTGCTCACAAACTGCAGTCCCAGTCCGTCTTTCTTCTCTGCTCCAGCAGCAACCACACCGGCCCTCCCCCTCACCTCTCAGGTACAGATAAGCCCTCTGTTGCCCAGGTAATCACCCATAGATATGGAGATAAACTTCTCCACCCCTGAGAAAGATGCAAATGCACTAAAGCCATACTTCTTTCCACCTCTGAATGCCTGTTGATATGCAGATGTAGCAAAGCCAGCCGAGATATTCTGGAAATACTACAATTTTACCCACAATGTGTCAAAAGTATATAGAGCACAGGGCCCAGTAAGATTCACTCCAGTATGAGCTGAGGGCACTTGGAAAGTTTCCCACAAAACACCTCTTTTCCTTTGTTTTTCTACAGAATCTTAGATCCCATTATTACATGAGTATTATTCTGACACCAATTCTGATGTGTGGGTTTTTCCCTACATCAAACAATTCTCTGACACCAGTGTGGGTAAAATTGTAACATTTCCAGAGTACCTTCCCTGGCTTTAGTGCATTTGCATATCCTCAGGTGTGGAGAGAAGAGAGAAGTTCATCTACATGTCAATGGGTAATTACCTGGGCAACCCAGGGCGTGTCTGAACCTGAGAGTTTAAAGCTTACTCGCTTCTTCAGGAGCAGAGGAGAGAGAAGGTCCTGGACTGCAATTTGTAAGCAATAAACGGGGTTTAAACTTTATTTCTCCCTTTGATTGATTTCGGTCTTTAGAGGTATTTTGCCCCGGAATTTCCTCTCCCTGGATTTACACCAGCTGGCTATCCTACAATTCAACTTAATTCTGACACTCTCTATCCAGAGATAGCATCTGATCCCACAGGTTAAGGGCTCAGTTCCACAAGACTGTCCCCACTTCAGATGCCAATCCCAAGTTCTGGTTGTCTCCTGTGCTTCTGACCAACACTCACTACTTGGGAAATTCCAGAGGTTTTAGGATCTCTGGGCTAGAAATGGGGACTAAGAGCAAATATTTATTTCTCATTATAAATCACAGTATCACAATGAGTCATTATTAGATGATTCCAGAAGTATATAACTTTTGTATAAGTATATAATTGTATATAAACTTGTAGAGAGGAAATGTTCTATCTGTCCTCCAGATCCACTCTCCACCCCTCTTCACCTGCTCTGGTGACTGACCCTTATTGACTAGTGTAATGCCTTTGACTTCCAGTTGGGTTTAACCAGTGAAGCTTCCCAGCAGAAATCAGAGGAAGAGAGGACAATGAGGGTGGTGCTCTAATTGCCCAACTTCTCCCAGAAAAATCACCTGGGGCTACCTAGGTCCCTTGACTGAAGGTCTCACAGCTCATCTTCAGGTAGTCTCCACCTCTCTGCAGTCTGCTCCCTCCCTTTATCTTTTCAGGCCTAGGTGAGACTAGCCTCCATACTGCTGTCCCTTGTGGTCCCCTACACACTGCACACACTTGTGCAAATAGAACCTCTAGTAAATCCTACTTGAATTGTCCTAATTTGAGTGTACCATCTGTTTCCTCATGGTACTTTGACAGATATACCTTGACAGAAGCAATTTACCAAGCTGTTATTGGCCATAAACAACCAATTATAAATTAGTTCATGAGATTACTTTTCAAGGTATAACTACCTAAGTTTGGGCTCAGAGGCAATGGAACATAGGACAAGTAAATCTTCATAGAGATAAAACAAACAACGCAACACAAGAGAAAGAGCAAGGGGTTTGAAACCAAGACATCTTAGCCGGAGTTCCAGATCAGCAGTTCACAGCACCTCTGGGCCTCATTTTTCTCATCTGTAAAATAAATATTTTAAAATAGATCAGTGGCATTTCAATACGTATTTCACAAAATTCCACAGCTCCACAGAGGTACCTCAAGGTCCATGAGTCAAAAGGAGAAATAAAATGGGAGAAACCAGTTTCTGTCTTACAAGCAGTCCTCCCACGTCTCTCTGACCCAGGGGGCTGCAGAATAGGAGAGAGCTCCACCCAACCTCTCTGGCCCACATAAGCCCTCCCTTGCTCATGTAACTGGCCATTGACAAGGAGACAGACTACTGCTCTCCACCCCTTGGAAACACCTACTGAAATGGAGATGCACTAAAGCCAGGTGAGAGATTCTGGAAATATTGCAATTTTACCCACACCAGGGCAGCTCTGTTGTCTGCTTTGTATGGAACAAGATAACCACGGATGTGACTGAGGGGTACAGATTAAGGACAGGATACTCCGTTTTGGACATTTCTGAGGTCGTAGACATGAGACTTGGTATTCCAGCTGCCAGTCCTCTTGAGGGGGAGGTGCTTTGGGCTGTGTGGTGCGTGTTAAAGGTCAGCATGGTGTCTTTGACTTTTTGGCATCAACCCTGGTGGGGAAGAACATTCTCCCTCCCTCTTCTAGGCCTCATTGCAGGTATTTGTGGTGGGGAACAATCCTGGGCAATGCTGGCAGCAATGGAAATGAATCCAAATCTGAGTCCCCACACTCCCAGCTGAGACTAGTAGGCAAACCAAGAGGACTGGGGCATGAGTCTACCCTCTGGAGTTCTTGGATTTATTACAGAGAGAAATTCTGGGAAGGAAAAAAAAAAAAGATATGTTCCTGGGATTGGGGTACATACACCAGTGTACACACACACACACACAGGTGTGTCAGAGTTGTTTAACTTCAATGTTAAAAGGAATGTGATTGTATTTTGGACCCCTAGCTGGTACTAAGTAATGCATATTCATGACATATAGACAGTGTGTGGCATGTAATAGGTGCCCAAAACTGGAATAAATTAATGCATGGATGAATGAAAAGTGGATGAATTCTGGTTGCCACTGCATTAGAAGATAAGGATTCTGCTCGTAAACATGTGTATGAAAAACAGTGAGTTTTCACATTAGAGTCTGGTTAGCTGTGATGGCCAATGAGTATGGTGATACCCATTCTTGCTGGATCCTTGCAGGTCCCCTGAGGACGATCAGGAAGGGCTACTGGCCAGCAGCAAGAGGAGATGCAGAGAAAAAGAATAGAAAATACAAATTTCAATGACGCACATTTTTCACTCTTTGGCATTTTCTTTCCCTTATGGTTCAACAAGATCAAATAAAATTTGTAATGATTTAAAGGTGTAAAACAAAGCCACTAGATTTTTTTTCAACTTTTTACTTTGAAATCATTACCACTTCACAGGAAGTTGAAAAACTGGTACAGAGAGACAAGTGTACACTTGCAACTGTATCTTCCAACAAAGTATATTTTTTAAATGTAAAATACAGTTAAATATTTTTGAGCTACTTTATTCCACTTAACTATTCTGAAACACTGATTAATTTAGAGTTTAGGATCCAACAGAAACTATTGTTCACATTTAAAATGGTATCTCAGACATAATTCCAATGAAGGAATCAAATTGGCACCAAAAAACAAAATCACTGCTCTGTTTCAAATGATAAACCTTTAGTAAAAGGTCACTTTATTGGGAAGTTACGGAGATAAAGGATTATCTTTAGGGTGTTTGAAAAATATGTGTCCTCTGTAAAACCGTTAGCTCCTGGCTTTCTGGGAAAGTAGCCAGCAGAGGGCACTGTAGGCTTCAGAGACTGCAGAACACGCTGGGGGATCCCTCTAGAACCCTTAGTCTTACTTCTTGCAAGATACTTTGAGCTAGTGTTATGAGCTTGTCTGTTGAATGACTACAGAGTACTTTTTTTGGTGACAAAAATAAAAATTTCACAACTCCAAAATAGGCATGAATACTTTAAACATAATGCAATATCCTGCATCATCTTTTCCCAATCATTCATTTTGTTCTTTGAATCAGTCACTTTGTGACACAGGATTCCAGGAGGTAACACACCGATGACTATCAGGATTTCTTAATCCTGAACACTCTTGCTTGAATCCACATACATTGCCTAAGCCCAAATGCAGTGTGAATCTATTTCTACATAAGTCTTTAATTAACTTATAAAACACTGATATCTTGGCAAGAGAGCTAGGCATGCTCTTTTTCACCTTTTATGAACAGTGTACAAAATAGGATTATAATTTTCTCCATAAACATGAGGCATAACTAGAATGTCACCAGAAATAAACCAATGTGTGCTTTAGATGCAGCACAGCTCCTCTGGAAGTGGGAGGAAAACTAATATTTGCCAAAGACCTAACATCTGTCAGGCACTTGCCAGGTGTTTCACACACGTGATCTTGTTTCATGTTCCTGTTGTCATGCCTCCTTTATGGCTAGGGAAATAAAAGTTGCCCAAGGACATGCAGCTAGTTAGTGGCAGGAGTAGAAATAAGCCCAGATATTTCTGGCCTTCTGTACCCTTTCTTCAGAGAAGCTACCCTGATCAGTATTCAGTCACCCTGCCACGATTTTCCCTGCACTTTCTGGGACTGTGCTCCACAATGAGGTACATTTTCAGTGATTCCTGATTGCATTTTGTAATTTGCCTGTTGTTTGCAATATGCCATTTGTTGCTATGAAATGGCTCAAGTCGGGATAGTAGAGATTAAAAAAAAAGAAAAGAAACTTTTTTTTAGGGGTTGAATGGTGGGAGAGGAGGGCTGGGCAAGGGCTGTGAAAGGAGACTTATTTTTCGCAGTTTCATATAGTCATATAGTCACATACAGAAGTGTATACTTTTATAATGTTTGAATATTTTGTGATTAAAACATATTTATGAGGTTTCTTAACAGAGAAGGAAAAAAGAAACTTTCCAGGAAAATATGAAAAAGCAATGTAGAAAGAGCCATGATGTAGTATATCATCTATTTTATGATATATTATTTATAGTAATTTGAACATAAAGACCTCTTTTGAGAGGGAAAAAAAGAGGACCAAGGTTTCATTATGTGACTACGTTCTTCTCTCCATCCCTCATGCCCTACACACAGAAACACAAACAAAAGCTTATTACTTTCCCCTGATGGAACGAGGACTGAGTGAATAAATCATCCAGTCACCAAAACTTCATTCCCAGTCACTTGACACCATTCAGGGAACACTATGTTGGAAATGTGCGGCTGTTCCAATCTGCACCAGCACTGCCCCTAAGATTAGGGGTTGAGGTATAAGAAGGAAGTATTCAATGCTGCAGTTTCTAAATGAACTATGAATGTTTCATTTCAAAGTTGTACCATTTGAGGGTGAAAAGGATAAAACTATGCTTGCCCTTTCTTTTCCTAGCACAGGCTATTTTCAAAATAACTTGAAATAATTTGCAAACTAGAGTCTGTTACAGTCATTCACAGTTTCGTAAACAGCTCTGAAGTAAAGTTTTACAAGTACACTAAAGTACTATGGGGTTAACTTTTAGACATGAAAAGAGTCTAATAATCTCCCTCTGATGACTCAGTATATGTTGAGCTTTCCACAGAGAAGCAGGACAATGGAAAAGGGTCACGACACTTCCCCTCCTCTTAGTCTCGCTGATTTAAGACCTTATTAAAATGGGTGCATTGGGAAAGCACCATCCATTCTCGTTATTCTGGCACAAATTTCCTTGTTGTGTGGCAAGAGCACCTCAAGCCTCTTTTCAGCCTTCAGCAGCGGGTACCCTATTTTCCTTTGTTCCCACCCTCAGGGTAATCAGGAAGCTTACAATTCATCAGTGCCTCCTGTGTAGGGCAAATTTTGTGCATGTATACAAACACATGGTATTACATGCACACACATGTGTGTATATTATGGATTGCATATACATGTGTACACACATGTATGTGTATCTTAATACACACATATGTATATGTACACACCTATGCATGTGTATATATTCATGTCTTATCTGTAGAAACCGAGGGCCTATATAGCAGATTTTCCTTTTGCCTGCCTTTCTGGTTTTCTCTCTGATCCTTTAAAAAAGAACTACTAAATTACTGGCTGATAAGCTTGTTCTTCATAAACTTTAAAATGTAATCATACGTATAAGACCCAGTTAACAAGCTGAGTGTATTTGCTGCAGTCATTGTGACTATTTTATGTTCACCTGTTTGATATTTTTACTTCATTCTCTTGGTTCTTAAGACTTCTTGGTAGATATGCTCTTTAAGGAGTTTCTTAATTCATCAATTTAGGTTACCTCTTGTTTTTTATAGTACGGAAATTTATTATTCTGCATAACAAAAGTCCAAAGGTGGGGTAGTTTTGGATTTGGTTGATTCTGTGGCTCAGTGTTGTCAAGGACACAGATTCTTTCCACTCATTCCCTGGCTATCCTCCGTGGAATTGGCTTTTGTCCCCCAGCTTGTCCCTTTATGGTCTCCTCGGCAGCTTCTCTTTCTGATGATTATTCTTGGATTCTTTCTCCAGTTTCCTTACCTAAAGGAGTTTTGCCTCAAGAGACCTGGGGTCTGGGGCTTTACACCTCTAGCCTGGTTTCTACTCTGCTGCTCCAGAAGGCTGCCTGATCTGACTCTAGCTGGCATACATAGCTCAGCGTCCCAGGGCCCCTCTCCTGGCCTGGTCTTGAGAATTAATTTGCATCTTAAATTAAAAACCATAAGCAGCTCAGGGGTGGAGTTCATTGTTTCTTCCTCATTATCTGTGTACCCACTCCCTCCTTGCCTCCTGGGACACCTTGGCCCCTGGGTCTGGGTCTCCAGCATTCCCTGCTGCTTCTCCTTTGTCATGGAAGTATCCCAAGGTTCAGACTGGCCCACCTCACGGAATAGTCCCTCCTCTGGGAAAGTAACCCCTTCTGGGGCTTCCCCTCTCATTCCTATGTAAGTGGCTTTCCTTACCTTACCTAGGGAAAGATTCAACTCCAAGCACGCCTACTGGTCTTGTCACCTGGATGTTCTGTCATTACTTTAACCTGAATGTGTCCCAAGCTGAATACCCTGTTCCTACCCCATTCCTTCCCTGCCTAGACCTGCCATTGTGTAGATGCTGCTAACATCTTTCTATTTAAATGTGGCTTAAAGCTAAGAATAGAAAAACAGGGGGATTATTTTCAGCACAAGCCACCTTTTTAAAAAACATATGTAACAAAAATGAAGATGAAAAATTGCTGGTGCTTGCATTTTGTTATGGGACCCACTGAAAGAAAGAAAGAAAGAAAGAGAGAGAGAGAGAGAAAGAAGAAAGAGAGAAAGAGAGAGAGAGAGAAAGAAAGAAGAAAGAAAGAGAGAAAGNAGGAAGGAAGGAAGGGAGGGAGGGAGGGAGGGAGGGAGGGAGGGAAGGAAGGAGGGAAGGAAGGGAGGGAAGGAGGGAAGGAAGGAAGGGAAGGAGGGAAGGAGGGAGGGAGGGGAAAACAGCAGCTCTAGTTCCAAAGGGGGAACAAAGGATATTATTGGGACAATAGGGAATATTTGAAAATGGACTGTATATTAGATAATACTAGGGCATTATGTTAAGTTTCCTGGGTAAGATACTCCTTCTATGGATATGTAGGAGGAATGTCCTTGTTCTTAGGAAATACATGCTGAAGTATTTTGGGATGAAGTGTCACAGTGTCTATAATTATATCTTAAATGGTTCAGCAAAACAAAAAAATTAAAAAGCAGAGAGAAAGCAAGTACAGTGAAATCCTACTGATAAATCTAAGTGAACAGCAGATGGTGTTTATCATACTTTGCAACTTTTCTATATGTTACTAATTTTCCCAAAATAAAAAATTGGGGAAAAGTTGTAATAGGTAGAGAAAATCACACTTCTCTGAGTCAAGGACTTGACATGTGTATGTGTATGTATAGGGGGTAACGTGCTTTAAGTTTATATTTAGAAATTTCAGAGCTATAATCATTCAAGAAAGCAGATGTGATCATTGTCTATTTAAAAATCACTAACAGTTTGAACTGTTCTAACGGGTGGAAGGGCTGCTTAGGAATGCAGCGGTTGCTTCAGGCCCCTCTTGCAAGGCCCCACTGCCTGGCAGAAAGCCCTGGCAGCAGCTGGTCATGCGCCCCGGGAAGGAATTGGACTGCGTGTCTCATCGCAGTAGCTCTGCTCAGAAACAGGCACAGTGCGCTTGGTTCTGTCCCATGACCTGGGTCACCACGAGAGGTGGGAAGTAACACATTGACCCAGCCGGTTGTCAGGCTGTGTTCTGGGCTTTCACATACATCATCTTCATCTGCACAGCC